CATTTGTCTGGGATTTTGGTTTTAATCCGTTGTTGGTTTTTTTTATCAGGTGGGTCAGGTTTATCAGAAGTTTGAGTGTAGAGATAGATCGGACGGTGGGATTATTCGGAATGTTGTTCAATGGAGTCTTCCAAGCTTGTTAGAGGTTTGTGATCGTAACACTTCAATTCTTCAAATTTCCAGAGTTACCTGTAAATGATGAATCCATGGCAGGAGCAAGAAGGTGCAACACTTGTTGTTACTGCAAAATTCGATAAGGTCACTAGTCGGAACATCTACCTTCAGTTTGAAGAGGTCTGTTTTTGAAAGCTTTTCGGTATTTGACGTTTTGCCGGAAGCAATCTGATTTTTCTGTTTCATGGAATTTTTTTGCAGATAAGTGTTAGAAACATTATCATTAATGAGCAGCTTCAAGCTCTCATTGCACCTGCAATACTTCCTCGCTCATTCTTAACCCTACAGGTGAGAAGAACACTCATTCATATGCATAGGAACATCAGAGAAGACAACCAAAGCTAATAACTCTTCATCGGTTTTTCAGATTTTGCAGTTTATCCGTAATTTCAAAGCTCAGATTCCAGTAACCGCAACCAGCCCGGGAAGGTAAAAAAAAAAACTTTGTTTATTTTCATATCCTATGGATGGATGGTTAAAGATGTTGTTGCATTACAGGAGATCTGTAGGTGGATTGTATTACCTGTCTTATCTCGATAATAACATGCTCTTGGGTCGATCTGTTGGAGGAGGAGGAGTATTTGTCTTTACAAAATCTCAACCCCTCGAGCTGTGAGAATCAGACAAAATCTGTAAAACTCTCTTTTTTTTTAGCTGTATATCTCAGAGAAAAGAAGAACATTATGTTAGCAGATTCTGTTTATGTACAATCTATTCGGGTTGTACTTGTACAATAACGCAAAAAATGTTCTGCTTTCGAACACGGAATATATTCAGCCAAGCAGACTGTTCCACAGTTCTTTAAGAGATATATAAGCCTTTGGACAAGGAACAGCCTGTAGCTTGGAGTTGTTATCGACCAGTGTCTCTGTTACTAGACCAAGTCGAACCAACGTGCTTATAGCCTTTTCTACTCGCATCTCAACCTGTAAGTGGTTTAGTAAGTCAGCTACAAGGTGTAAAATGTAGTGTAATGTTGCTATAAGAGTTCAAGTCTCATACAAACCTTTATTTTGAAAATGTCATACATGAATCTCTCGCATCTATCTCGAACTCCTTGGTAAGACATATCCTGCAGGCAAATAGTGTTTATTCATGAGCATTTGCGAAAAAGCTTGAACTATCCGAGAATGAAGCATGGCATATTGAGACAAGAGAGTGATTTGTTATGTTTATAACCTGATTCTTTCCTGCTTGAAGAATAATTGCATACATCAATATTGCCTCCTTGTACTGCAGATAGTGAGAAATATTAGAACGAAACCGTAAGTAAAAGATTCTTCATATGAAATCACTCGTGTATGTTTTGAAAGGAATAAGAAGGGAGAACTGATAAAGATCTTGCCTGTTGCTGTTCCGAGGCATCCAAAAGGAAGTGGACGGAGCCAAAGCCACTGGCTAAGGTTTTCTCATAAAGCGTTTTGTTTACTAGCAGCTGAGGAAGTAGATCAAATGCAAGGGGGATTTTCAAAATCAGAACACTAAAAGCCACTGTAGTGAAAAGGGAGTATGAATTTTGGTTTCAACTCACTTGATATCTATCCCATGTCTGCTTATAACCCAAAACCACACGGGTTGCGTAGATTACCAGAGCAGTGACAGCGACCACATCAAGAAATAGTGCTGATCTGTATTTCAAACAATGTGAGGCAGATAACAAGTCTTAACACTCCGATTTCTCACTATCTGTTCTTATGAAGAATGCCGTAAGGGAAGAAGGTAAAAGAAGACATACGGGGATGATGAGATGTTCTCAAACTTGTAGTTTACGAAGTATGCCGTAAGCCCCAAAATACTGGCGATATCCAGACGTACCTAACAAAAGATTCAAAGTATTGGGTCAACAGAGAAAAAAGATCAGTAAAATTCAGTGCATAATGCAACCACACTTACTGTATCTATGATGCGAAAGTAAAGCTTCCTGTCAGGGAAAATTACCTACATAAAACAGAAAAGGCAGAGGTGAAATCTACAGGGAAAAGCTCACTGGCAGAAAATACTCATGATGTAGATGTAATATTCTTACAGGTAAATCTGGAATTGGAATTCTTTCAAATATCTCCAATTGTAATGATGATCGAGTTTCGTCTTTATTTTTATCACCTTTTTCATTCGCATCCTTCGTGTAAAGCAAAATTAGTTCTTCAAATGCAGGCTCCTATTCACCAAAGAGCAAAAGCAAACAGAATGATCTGAGAATTGTGATCTTGTGGCCATAGCTTCATTCAAATGAGGAATTTTGAAAGTGCACTACAGACTGAAACAAATGCTATCATTTGCATAGAAAAAGAATACCTGCAGAGTTGACGGTGATAAAAGAATGGAAATCGAAGTTTTTATCCTTTTCCAGATATCATTTCCGCAAGCTTTCTTTGAAGCAGGTTTCCATATATCACCCAGTGTCATCCTTGATAAGAAAATCGGCCTGAATGAAGAAACTTATACTGCTTAGCTCATATTTCTAATCAGGTAAAATATCTAGAAAACATGAAGTAGATTTTAAAAGTTCTGACATGCATATCTAGGAACTTTCACACTCGTTTTATGCTAAGTGAACAGGTGACATTGGGCAATCAAATCCCAAACTAAGTATTGAAAATCATATCTGCTATTGACATAGAGATTCTTCATATTCAGCAAACATAGACCAGAAGATAATATGGGAGAAAAGATGACTGAGAAAAGAAAGCCACACACCTTAAATAAGGTTCAGATGCATTGCTATCATTAGCTAGCTGGGATGGTGATTCATAAGCAGGAGAAATGAAACCAATCCATCCGAGCAACATTCTGAAGAGCTTTTCTCGAGGACCAACGGGTGTGAGAAGTCCCTCATACCGACTGACTGCCCTTTGTGCTGCTAACCGCATGGGGAGGACTGAATCTGAAAGGAACTCCCCTTCCAAGAAATTATCAGAAGTTTGAACTTGGTCGAGATATGATTCCTTAAAAAGGGATAGCTCCTTGAGCCATATTTTCATTCTCTCTGACAAATCTTGAATTTCTTGAGTTTGAGAAGCCTCACTTAACGCCTGTTCATGAAATTTGAAGAAAAAATATTATTCACGTTTAGCAACTAACAAAGCCTGAAGGTCTGTAGTAAAACTGCAATACATGCAAATTTTCTTCTGATTCTCCATTAAATAGGAGGCAGACCTTGTTTATCATTTTTCCTACTTTTCTCAGGGGTTTTGAAATAATAGAGAAGATTCCTCGTAGAACTTTAGACTGGATGTAGTCTAGTTTCTCCACAAGTAATAAACCCTTCTGCTTCTCGGTTGCATATCCACGTCTGTAAATAAGATGAAATTCATAAGGAGATTCTCCATTAGAGCAAAAGAGCTCAAGAGTTGCAACTCGAGCAAGACTCACAAGCAACCGGAAAAGATGCCCCATGAGATATACATTTATTTGGACCACAAAACCTATTGCCAATGCAGTAACACAAGGTCTAAATCTTCCTACATTGACTGAAGAGGTAGTTGAAGTGTTTGCCGTATCCAAATCTGCTACATTCGTAACTAAATGGTACGTTATCAAAGCCTCAAAAGATATTATTATTACATTACCTGAAAACAATAGCATTGGACTCTGCCGCCTTCTTCCAATCAACATATACAGGCAAAGTAAGAAGGTAATCCGTATTCAGAGCCGACGTCAATGCCAAATCCCTAGCTGAAAGCTCTTCAAAACCAGCATTGTCGAGGAGCTGAATGAAAGAGCGCTGAAACCGAGTTGCAGCAACTACACTGCATTTGAATATCACCAAGTTATAATTCTAGATTTTCATTACACACAGTGATTCTCAAATCTCCCAATTTGCTCTATTAGTGAACATACATGTTCTCTGCCTTCAAAATTCGCCAAAAACTACCGGATAATTTCTAATACCTTTCGGCCGAACGTCTCTTTGCATGTTTGCCAGAGGAAATTAAAAAATTCCAAATGTCGAAACCATCAGCCAAAGGGAATGATAAGCCCTCGTATCCATTAACACTCCTAGATTCAGAGTTCTTGGCATTCAAGTTAATTTCCTCCTCTGAGTCAATTTCTCCACCTGAAGTAGAACTTTCTTCGTCACCACCATCGTTTACCTTCTCCAGAGATTGAGTGGCGACGAAATCGGCTCTCATTTGCTCTAAAATCCTCTTGTGCTCCGCGTGAAGGATAGAGTCTAAGCACCTAAACAAGTCAAGAGAGAGTTTCAAAGAAGTAATCGTAACGCAATTCGGGTTAAATTAGGGTTTTATAACGAGCTTACGAGGCGAGGAGGAGGAAGATATCAGCATCTCCATCTCGAGAGTCGAGTAGCTTCGTTACAATACCGTCAACGAGATCAGATTTCGAGACACTAATGTATTTCTCACGAGGAACATGAACACTAGAAATCCCC